TTGAGGTACATAGGGCTGTGAGTTGCCTTTGGATGCTGGAAATCAACCTCCGTTCCTTAAAAGATTAGCCAGTGCTCAACATAGCTGATCAGAAATACCCAATTATTAGAATTGTGAATGATAAGTTAATAAATAATGCAATATGTAAAACTTGTATCATTATTATATCTACCTTTTGATTTTTTGAAGCTGTGATAAGCATAAGGACCCATAAAAAGCAGCTCAGGGAAGTGAGGGTTTCCAGAAATTCTGACCTTATTTCTGCTTCTGCCCTGGCCTCCCTCAATGATAGCCAGTAGCATATAAACTTAAATTAAAGGAAAAAAAGGCATTCTATAAAGAAAAACCTAAAAGTGTATGAGATTATAGAATAAACGTTCAAGGATGCGTAAAACGCTTGACTTTGAAAGACAGAAAAGGGTCAATTGGTTGGCTATTTAGTGTTACATGTAAATAGAAACTGCGAAATTGTGTGGGATTAAGTTTGTGATTGTGAAGTCTCTGACTGGGTGTTTTATATGACTATTGTTTTGGGTTTTCAGTACTAGCATTTATTAACTGCTGTCTTGTTAATAAGATATCATTGTGATCTCTCAAATATTATATCTTACAGATACCAATTATTATCATCTGAAATAAGACATGAGTAGCTGCCAGACTTCTAGACTGTCTCCATCTCTCTCCCTTACTGATTTTGACATTGCAAACACAGAGATAGACCAAGGGCACTGGAGAAGGAAACCTGTTTCTAGACATAAAATAATCTTTGTTTCCTTGCCAGCTCACGGGCAAAATTGATTTCCTATCCCTTCTTCTTCATATTCCTACAATACTGTAGGAGTGGGATACAACATACTTTTGTTTAATGAATACCTTCCTCTGAGATTGGAGCATTCCATCTTGCAAGGAGCTTCTTAACCAGGATGGTGGACAGCTCAAAAGAGCTTTAGGAAGTACCTGAAACTGACAGAATTCACTGGGCCCCTCCCTGATTGAATAAACAATAAAGGTTGAGAGTCCCTTTCAGAAGAGGAGAGCTAAGCTGCAGAGAGGACTTTCAGAGAAGCAAAACTACAAAGAAGACTGAGACCAGACCATTGATTGGCCTGCAAGAAGCAGAAACCTGCTGAACTGCCTTCAAGAGGTTTAGACCAACTGAGGCACCTGGAGTCAATACTCTCCAACCTGTTAGGCGACCTGCAGGCTGTGCAGTGAGCCCCAGGTTCTCAGCTTTGTTAGATGTCATCCATGTAGGTAGAGACTTTAGTGATGCATCTGTCTTAGAGTCATTTCTGCTCCTGTAAGTAACCCCACACCCATAATTTTATGAGTAACCCCAATAATACTCAGAGAGGTTCATGAAGCTGGACTGGTATCTGTACTTTGGTCAGTTGTGGGTTCCTTATCTGGGGTGAGTAGATGAGTATGTCACATCTTTCAGGAAAAGTTCTGTCATATAACACATGTCCACATTAATAACTTGTTCTCTCTTAAGCAAGGTAGTCTTCAGGTTAATTATTAAGCTCCTTATCAGGTATTAATTGTTGCTGGCTATATCTGCCCACTTGAATTTCTGTGCTTTCCTTTGAAGGGTGTATTGGTTTGAATGGTTTTCCCCAAAGATCCATGAACATCCTCCTGGGAAGGAGTGGTGTCTTTAGGAGGTGGGGCTTAATGAAGGAAGTTATGTCCTTAGGGGTGTGTCTTTGAAGTGGACCTTCAGATCTTATCCTCCTCCTGTCCAGGCACAATGTGAAGGCCCCATCTGTCACTTCCTCACAGGGTAATGTTCTGCAGACTTATATACCTGAAGCATAGCTATAGACTGAGAATCCAAAAGCCACGAGACAAATAAACTATTTCCCTGACTCAAATGATTATTTTAGGTATTTAGATGGCAGAAGACAGAGCTATTCATGTAATTCATGTATTTTTATAGGGAATTCATGGGTCTACTTACCTATCCCAGAGCATAAACCCTCAGAGCAGTGTTATATGTAGCTCTCTGTGTTCAAGTGTACATGTACATGTATATAGCACCCAAAGAACTCAGAAGAAAGCATGGATCCCTGGAGCTAGAGTTATAAGCTATTGTGCAGTACCAGATAGGGGTACTAGAAACCAAACTCCCATTTTCTGCAAGGGCTCATGACCACTGAGCTATACAGCCTATCTTTGCTTATGTTTGAGTCCTGGATATAAGACACATTCTGGTGGCAATGTGGCAGAGATGTAATGGATGTTGTGCCCAGTCTGTGCTCTCCAGACATGGGTTCTAGGCACAGTTCTTCCACAATCTAACTCTAGACAGCTAGTCACCTAACTTCTCTGAGTTTTGTCATGAGAAACATAAAGTTTCATCTAAAATCACTATCACCTTTATAGCTTGAAAGTTCTCCAATTCATATTTAGAACTGAACTCATCAACAGTGTATTTAATGAAGCCTGATAAATCATTTCATCAAAATGGTAGTACTAATCCTTTCAAAATAGCTGCTGCAACAAGCAAATAGAAACACATTAATAGTTCTTGTACTTTAAATGCTTGTCCCATATAGTAAAAGGGCGCAGGGCTGCGTCCCCAGCACCCCCGGCCGCCTGCCCGGCTAGCTTATGCCCCGAAATAATTACACGGACACTGTATTCTTTTAATCATTGCTTGGCCCATTCTCTTCTAGGCTAATTCTCACATATTAATTTAGCCCATTCTAATTATCTGTGTGTAGCACCCCAAGGTGCGCTTACCGGGGAGATTCTAGCCTATGTCCATCCTGGGTCGGAGCTTCATCCCGGGAGCAGGGCATGGCGTCTCTCTCAGGCGTCTGCTCCCCAGAGAGCTGTGGAGTCTCTGAGCTCACTTCCTCTTCCTCCCAGCGTCCTGTTCTGCCTACTCCTCCCACCTATCCTCTAACCAATAAAATGGGCCAGGGCAGTGCCTTTATTAGCCAATGACCTTCCTCCATCAGTCCCACAAACACAATTGCGGCTTTAAAAGAATGTATGATATAGTAGAAGGAAGAGCTGATTTTATAAGCACACAATTCATTTGAAATTAGTTGAAAATGGAATCTACTCTACTAATACAAACCTTTGGAAGCTATGCTTAGGACCTGTAATGGTTGGGGCAGTTTTTGTGGTCACTGGCAAGGGGACCAGGATTTATCCCTACTGCTTGAACTGACTTTCTAGAGTCCATTCTTTTTGATACCTTGCTCAGCCTAAATATAGAGGTAGGGCCTTGGTTCTGTCTCAAAGTGATGTGTCAGACTTTGTTGATTCCCTATGTGAAGCCTGACCCTCTCTGAGGAGTGGATGAGGGTTGGTGTAAGGGGAAGGATGGAGGAATGAGAGAAGGGAAGGGACTGGGAATGGGATAAATAGGTATGTAAAATGAGAAAAAAACATTTTAAAATGTAAATAGATTAATTTAACAAAAATATGAGAAATACAGTAACAGGACAGGGTCAGTGAGGTAAACTTGCTGATAAAGTTGATTTCTGTCAACCCTGATGACCTGAGTTCAGTCCCTTGAACCCACATAGTACATGGAGAGAATTGGCTCCAGAAAGTGGTTCTCTCTACTCTGACATGAGTCACGCCATGTGCATCCCCTACAAAATAAATATTACAGCTAAAAAAGTAACTGCAATAATACTGGCTATTTATTATTTCCTTTATGTCACATCATTGCCCAACAGTTTCTCATAGGTCTAAAAATATTATTAGCTGCCTACCTACTATTATTTCATTTATAATTACAGTAAGTTGTAAATTTCATATTTATGACTTTTTTTTCTATTTAATTTTTTGAGATGGGGTTTTATGTAGCTCAGGTTGACCTAAACTTGCTGTGGGAGCACATTCCACTCCTTCAGCCAATAGCATTTAAGATACAGTGTTGTGGGAGCTTCTTCCACTTTTTCAGCCAATAGCCTTTAGGATACCAGCCCACTTGGATGTGGTCTCTTACACTATAAATGTCGCTTTAAAGCCTGTGCTCGCTCTCTTGCTTCCAGCTCTCGCTTCTGCTTACTAGACTCTATTCCTGTTCCTTATTCGTGCAAAGGACTGTTATATAGGATAGTAACCTGTAAGTCTCCCCTAAATAAATGACCCTTTATTATTCATTATTCATAATTCTGAACTAGTGTGGGATTATTTTGTGACTTCTGCCATCATAAACTTTTCAATTTCCTGACTCCATTTCCTAAGTGCTGGGTTAGAGGTTTGTATGACTATACCCAGTTTAGGTGGTGCAGGGTACTGAGCTCTGGATTTCATGCATGCTAGGTGTGTACTATACTAACTAGATAGACACCCTGATTTTCTTTTTTTCTTTTCTTTTCTTTCTTTTTTTTTGGTGATTGATAGGTATATTAACAAACCTGCATGAGCAATACAAAAGCAAGAAACAAACAGATGGTGGACCTCCCCCCCCCCCCCCAACACACAAAGTTTTTCGGTTCTCTTGTACATGGATAAATGGTAGAAAAGTTTGGTCACTGTTTGAATCTTGACTATACCTGTTGAAACTGATCTGTCAAACCTACACTAGGTCACTGTAATTATGTATGAAAACAAGTTATTCCAGATTCTTACAGCACTTGTGCAAAGGTTATTCACACGTGAACTGCTTTCTCGTTCTCCGTATGTGTATTTAACTTCCAGTTTCTAGGGTCTAAGGTTGAAGCCTGCCATATTCTTTGGGGTTTTATGTGCACAGCCACCACACAGACAGTCAAACAGCACTGGTGGTATTTAAGTCTGTAATGCAATACAGGCAGAGTAAACTAAGGCAGCTGTGAAGCCTGAATAAAACTCAGGCCAGGAGAGGGCGCAACAGCCAACTTCCTGATGGCAAGTCTCACTGGCATGAACAAATGTGTTTTTCCTCCAATAATCTCATCAGTGGCTTGCATGTTGCTGCACCAGTAACATATGTAGGCCTTTATAACAAAATCACATCTGCGTGGAAGACACAACACAGCATGCTTTCAGGATCACTGATTGCTCTTCCTTTCTCTTGGTCTTTTTGTCCCAGAGCGTGCAGGTGTTGGGGTCTTTAATGAGTCTTGTGCCTCTTCTTTCACTGTGGGCACGGGCTGTTTGAAAATGATTTCATCATCTTTATTGTCATCTATTTCGGTCACTTGTGATTTTCGTCTCTCCAAAAATGTTGGTGTACAAACTGGTGTGGGATCCTGGTTACCCTTGGACTCCTGAGTGCCCTGTGAAGCCCCTTTCTTTGGATTAGGTAAGACCAACGAAGGGAACTGTAATCGATCCCCTTCTTAGCTAGCTTCTTCCGGAGTAATTTTTCCTTCTTCCTGAACCAATATTCCATCTTCAACAGTTGCGAATGCCCCCGTTTCTGATTATAGCGATTCTCTGCCGGGAATAATGGCTGATGAAAGGGAACGTTCCACTCTTTAAAAAGGTCCTCGTGGACTTTCTCTGGTGGCATAAATTTACACGATAGAAGTCTCGCACCAAAAAGGTAGTTGTCCATTGTTTCTGCAACTATCTTGGCCACATCCTCAGACTCAAACTCCACAAAACCATACCCTCTGCTGTTTCCAGTCCGTTTACTTCTGGACAATCTGAATCTGCTAATGGTGCCAAACTGCGTAAAGTAATCATAGAGGTGACTTTCAGAAAATATTGCTGGCAGGTGGCCCACAAACATCACTCCAGGATTAAGACTTTTTTCTTCCTTCTTTTGCTTTTTCGCGAGCTGTTTGGCTTGTGTCAGAACCTTCTGAAACTTCTCGTCTTCCTGCGGGTTCAGCGCTAGAGTCGGCTGTGCCGGATCCATGTTGAAGGAATCGTTCCCAGACGGTGCACGCGGAGGACACCCTGATTTTCTATTTAATAATTTTGAACAGTGATTGACCAGGGTTCTTCATACTGTAGAAAAAGATATTTCAGATGGTAGTGTTATACTAATCTGTACACATAGATATTTCACAGTATCACCTCAAATCAGCACTATTGGGATGTTCAGAGGGCTTTTGGTTAAAATTATCCTGTTAATGTGACCATGAAGGAGGAAAAGAGTATGTCAATTCAGAATCATTGCTCCTGTTATGTCTGCTAGTGTCTAGAGTTCCCATATAAAGGCAAATTAAGTATACTTTGAAAATATCTAGAGAGCAAAACACATATCTCTCAAAATTGTTTGCTGCCTGTTGTATCAGCCAGGGCACACTTGGCTGAAGAACTTGTCACAGTCTTACTGGTGGGTCTCAGCTCTGCTTCCAACAAATTCTGAATCAGGACATTGAGACCTACTACAAAAAATTCAAAGCAAAACTTTGTCTTCAGGAGTGAAAAGAAGCCTTTTCAAAGACATCTTGTCATGATGAACCTTCTTTAAATGTGTTTTTAAAACCAACTAGACCTAATTAAGTCCAGACAATATAATCACAGAATGGGAATAAAACTGATAGGTATATCAGGATGTCTATGCTTAGATGACTCTGGGTTTTGGTGAGAACTCGGAAACCTTGCTGTTGTTGTTGTTGCTGTTGTTGTCGTTAGCAGCAGTGTCCTTTCACTGGCTCTTCCTCGGGGCATACACGAGTGTCCTTCCATGCAGTGGCAACTAGGTTTATTTGTGCACACGGGTAAGGCAGCCTTTGATAAATATAAAACCCTGTCATTATCTCATTTTGGTATATTCTGAGATTTTCCTAAACAGATGTCATGGAAAATTCATTGAGAAAGAACATAACTTATTATAAAAGTAACCCACAGACTTTATCTTTCTCTTTTGCCTAAAAAGTTCAAAGCTAGGAGAAAACAGCTTAATTGAGATAAGCTTTATAAGAAAACGAACTGAAGGGTAATTGATGTGGTAGTGGCTGGGTAGCATCAAGTGAATTGTGTTGGATAGAATTAAAATGACCTCGATGCTTCGTGTTCATACTTGGTCTTTCAAAAGTTCCCATTGGATAAAACCTTAACATTCCCATTTTAAATGCTGCTTCTCTTCGTATATCAAGGAGGATCCTTGATGATTAAAAAGGGAATTTTGGAGTTTAATTTTTCCAAATAACGGATTGAATTTTCTCATGAACCACTGACAGACAACCGTTCCAGATACCCCAAAGGAACTGATCTTAGAGCTTTGCCAAAGGGTGAGGAGAGGGTGCTATAACACTGAGGGACAAAATTCTTGACTCTGGTCTCCAGTGAGGGGCTATTCAAACTTGTCACTTAAATTTTTATAAGTGCCTTCAAAGGCCCACATCACAGAAAATAGTCAAGGGCAAGGCTATAACCATTATTATAAGGCAGAACCTAGTTATTGGAGTTTTGTTTATGAAACAAGATTTCTCTTTGAATCTGAGGCTTGGGTAACCCGACAAATCTATTAAGATAATTTGTTTGCACATTTCCAAAAAAACAAAACCGAAAAAACAAAACCAAAAAACAAGCAAAAGCCCACTATAAGGAAAATATTAGAACAAATAATGCAGATATTAGTAGGTGATGGGGAAAAAACGCCACAAAAGTATTAGTTATTGCTCATGAACTGGGAAGGCAGTCTCTTTGACTTTGGCACTTTCTTAGCTGGATCCACTGTGCACTTTCTGTATGAACCAACGATTTTACTCACTGAGCTTTGCTCAAGGTTGTGTGTGGCACACACACACACACATCCCGAGGCTAGAAATATATACCCATAAATTAAAATAAATCTTAGGAAATGATGATGGAAATAAATTTAATTTAGCATAATGCCTTGTATAAGGAAAGTTTAAAAAGGTAGGTTCACATTAAAAACCTATACATGATTGGTTATGCTTACTTTGTTCATGTTTGACCAAATCTGAAATTTGAGTGTAGGGTTTTCTTTTAAAGTATTGGTTGCCAATGTGGACCCAATAGTCAGTTTTTCTATATAGTTTGACCAGCTCTGGATTTCTGTGATGGTCTCCATCTTTTACAAGAAGAGGCTTCATTAACAGGGGTGAAAGTGACATTTACTGTGGCTATAAGAATAAGTATTTAGATAGCAATTTGGTTTAGAAACAAGGTAGTAGAAGGTTCTTCTCTAGGGTACATGACCTCACTAACCGCAAGTAGTTGGCTAGGATCACAGAAGCAGGCATGAATTAGCCTCCATTGAGTAGACCTTAAATCCAATTATGTGGCTGTTTATTACTGCTGAGATATAAGTACTACCATCATCCCCCCTGGGAATTTCTTGCCTTACAGGTCATTATTGTGGTTCACAGTCTTGGAGCTGTGTAGGGCTTTTAATTGCCTTTCTCCTTTGGCAGCTCCCATAGCACCTTTGAATGCTATGGGAGCTTATACTAATGGAGAAGGTATACAGGCTAATTTCACCTTAATTATTCCAGTTCTGTGTCTAAAATGTGTGATTTTTTTTAAGCAATGTGGTCTTACCTTCAAATCTGGGTAAGCAACCAAGGACAATAGTAATAGCCTATACCATTTTGTGAATCTCTTGATTCTCCCAACAAAGAATCCTAAAGGAGGTTCCCTATGTTTAGCATTTAGATTTTTGTTAGATTGTCTATGAATTTTGGGGAGAACATCATCACCCCAGGTTGTATAACTGTAGCTTTGTTAAATTACAAACACACACACACACACACACACACACACACACACACACACATTCATATATTATTACCATCTCCTAGAAGAGATGATTTGGCAGAGATATTCATTCTCATCGAAAGGATCACAGGCAATGGGGTTATTCAGCCTACATTTTGGTCAAACCATTCCTATAGACAGATATCACATTTAACGTTTGTTGTAATAAGAGCTATGGGTCTGCATCCCCAGAACCCCGGCAGCCTGGCTAGCTTATGCCTTGAAATAACAACACACAAACTGTATTCATTAAAACACTGCTTGGTCCTTTAGCTCTAGCCCTTACAGGCTAATTCTCACATACCGATCAACCCATCACTAATAATCTGTGAGCACCCGTCTTACCGGGAAAGATTCAGCATGTCTAACCTGGCGGCTTGCTTCTTCGCGTGCGTCTGCCCAGGAGCGGGGCATGGCGTCTCTCTGAGGCATCTGCTCCCGAGAGGAGAGCTGTGGAATCTGAGCTCACTTCCTCTTCCTCCCAGCCTTCTGTTCTGTTTACTCCACCTACCTATGTTCTAACCAATAAAATGGGCCAAGGGAGTTCCTTTATTAGCCAATGACCTTCCTCCATCAAACGTTCTGTTGTTGGCTCCTTCTGAGCTCTCCTGTCCTTTTTTGTGAATTATTATTGCAGTTTTAGTGGCCATGGTGTCTACAACATTCATTTCAAAGCTTATCTTTTTGGCTTGAGATGCCCTTTCATGGGTACCCTGTAATAGACAGCAGACATTATCTAACAACTTACATCTTGGAGTTCTTGCTCTTACAATCTTTCCACAATGTTTCAGAAGGACATGGGAGGAAAATGTGTGAAGCATTGTGGTTGCCATTTTGCTTATTATAATACAGATGAATGAATGAGTTCTGTCTGACTATCTTTCTTTCTTGCTCTGTTCTTAATGTCACTGTTTAGCAGAGTCACTGTAACTAACTGGCCTCGAAGTAGATCTAGAAGATGGAAAGGATTGCTTGCTGACCTTGGAAAAACATTATATTCAACATTACTATTTTTATTATTACTTAAAAATATGAAAGTAGGTGTGTTGAGATGGCTCAGTTGTTAAAGCATTTGCTGCTCAAGGAAGAAGACCAGGTCTGAATCCCGAGAATCCAAATAAATACTGGGTAGGTCTGGCAGCCTGTCTTAATTTCAACTTTAGAAGGCTTATTCAAGGAATCCCTAGAGGAAACTAGCTGCCTAGACTAGCCTATCAATTAGCTCTGGGTTTGACTAAGAGATCTTGCTTCAAAGGGTGAAGTGGAAGAGTGATAGGTTGTCAAGGACCATGGAAGTATACAGCAGGTGATAACCAGTGTTCTGATGTCAACCCATCAGTTCTGGTGATACTGATGGAGGAGAACACCATCCTGGCAGAACCTGTAGGGCCACCAACTCTGAAAACTGTTGCTGCTGTCTGTAATTTCACATTTGCAGCTATTGTGTCTTCCCAATACCGGCATTGTAGTGTGTAACTTCATATCATGTGTAATTTCGTGATTGCACCTCAATCTTATGGGCAGATATACCTGTAGATGGTCAGGAAGATAACTTCTCTTTAATCTGTATGATACTGATCTATAGAAATTATGCTAGGATATGCTTCCTAACTAGATATGTTGTCCCGTAAGGACTGTGAGACGCTTAAAAGCCCCCTTTGTTCCTTTACTCAGACTAACACAAGAAAATAACAATTTCTCCTCAGTCCAAAAGAGCCTGCACACAGTTAGCTCATTTTACCTCAGAGCAAGTTCAAACTAGACTAAAGTTGTTTGTAAATAGATAATAAGTTTAAAATTTTACTGTTATGCACAAGGTCAGAGTCACAGGTGTCTAACCAAGGTTATTAACACAAAGCAGCCTTGAAAAAATTATGTCAATTCTTCGCTTGCCAAGTCTGGCTGATAAAACACCTATGTCTTGAAGCCTATCTCATTGGACACTGTGCCCCCATCCACTGGCTGCAGTCTTACTCCAGAAACCTTGAGACCTTGTTTTGCCATGGTAAAGAGTTATTCCCTTTTCACCCACCCAAAGGAATATGCTTTAGACTAATAAGATATAACTATTGTATTTTTTGTTATTGCTTCAAGCCTCCTGCAAAAGAGTGATTTAGGCTAGATGAACAAGAAGCTAGAGAGATATGAAACAGAGAATTGAAAACAAAGATGTAGAATTACAGGATTGAAATAAAGGATGGCTAGAAGCTTCAGAGGTAGAATTAGAGCCAACAGAAGAATAAAGAACAGGACTCTAACAGCATGTGTATGAATTAGTCCATAACTCCTCAGATTAGAAATGTCTTAAATTCCTTTTGCTATGCTGTGTCTTCTGACCTGAACCCTGGGGGCTGGACTCACAAGTTACTGTTAATAAGAAAAAATTCCCAACATCAACCTTAGTGAACCACATACACATACACGAACATTCATTTTATGTGCACATACACAAACACACAAACTCATAATTGTAACCATGAACAAATAAATATACACAAAAAGAAATATACATAAAAATACAAAAATATATTTTATTTAATGATTTCTCTATTGAAGTTAGCTTGATTCAGGAAATAACCAGGCAAGATAAAAGGTAAAACAATTATATTTTTATTTATTATAAGGGGAAAACTCATGAAACAGGAATTAGAAGTCCAAGCTCAGCTGTGCTGTGAGGGAACCACACACACACACACATACACACACACACACACACACACACAGAGAGAGAGAGAGAGAGAGAGAGAGAGAGAGAGAGAGAGAGAGCACCTGGGCTACGCAGTTTTTCTCCATGTTCCAGAAAGCCACACTTGGTACCATCTCTTGAAGATAATTGACTGACAAAGATTCCCCATCATTTCTCTACTATATTTCACAGTCCATTAATCTTTTATTGAATAGGTACTTGCCAAACAGTGGTTCTAGGCATTAAGAAGGTAATTTGAAGCAGGAAAATGAAATCTTGGTTTTCAGTAAGCATAGTTTGACATGGAGACTCAATGAGTAAGAAAACACTTTATGCAAGCTCTGTGGATGAAATAATGAAAAGAGAGAGTGGCTAACTCATAATGGTACATAACTCATAACTTCAGACAGAGTGGCTAGATTGACCATCCACAGAAGAGAAGATATAGAAATATTTGAAGGACAAAGGAGAGTCTTTTGTTTGAAGACTTATAAGCAGCGTTTGTAAGTACATAATATCAGGATCTCTTCTGAGTTCCAGGATCATAGTGCCATAGCAACCCCTATGTAGATATTTACTAGTCATAAATCAAGCCAACATAGAGTTAATACAGTAGTGTGTCATCATCCACCTCAACAAATAAATGTTTATAACAACTGGGAGGCTTATTGGAATTTGTAATTTGTAGACTCTTGAAATTGTTTGTGGCACAAAGGGGTATGGGGAGAGACAGTAGGATGTCTGGTCCTACTACCCTTGTCTTCCCATTCCTGGATCCATCCATTTTACAGTGTGACTAGTCCCTAGAGATCATGCTTATGTACATCAACCCAGCTTTCTTTTGTTAAATTATTATTGACAAGATAAAAAGACAAGGAATACTAACTAAGGTTATATTGGGGTTATGTTTCAGCACAGAGCAGACTATCCAGAGAAAAATGCTCTCAAACTCGATCTGAGGAAGTGGTGGGCTCAATTTTTACAGTCTTGCTACTATTTCTGCACCAGTACTGTGATAGACACACAGCAGACTTTCTGCACATATCTGATCTGCTTTCTGCTTCTTGAACCCAAAGTCTGTTGTTTGCATTTTACTTGCAGAAGATGGTGGAAGTACTGAACGCTACACCAGAAAGATTGAATAGCAGTCAGATCTAGTAGTTCTTGTGGAAAATTCCCTGGCAAGGTTTAACAGAGTCAACAGCTTCTGTGTGGTCACTGGTACAAAGATCTTTCAAAATCAATTCATGCCGTAGAGTCTTTTTTTTTCTTTTATTGAGAAAAGGAAAAAAAAAAGTATCCGCCTCCTCCCAGCCTCCCATTTCCCTCCCCCTCCTCCCACCCTCCTCCCCCTCCCCCAAACTCCTCCCCCCTCCCTCTCCAGTCCATAGAGCAGTCAGGGTTCCCTGTCCTGTGGAAAGTCCAAGGTCCGCCCCCCTCCGTCCATGTCCAGGAAGGTGAGCAACCAAACTGGCTAGGCTCCCACAAAGCCAGAACATGAAGTAGGGTCAAAACCCGGTGCCATTGTCCTTGGCTTCTCATCAGCCCTCATTGTTCGCCATGTTCAGAGAGTCCGGTTTTATCCCCTGCTTTTTCAGTCACAGTCCAGTTGGTCTTGGTGAGCTCCCAGTAGATCAGCCCCATTGTCTCAGTGGGTGGGTGCGCCTCTCGTGGTCCTGACTTCCTTGCTCATCTTCTCCCTCCTTCCACTCCTCATTGGGACCTTGGGAGCTCAGTCCAGTGCTCCAGTGTGGGTCTCTGTTTCTATCTCCATCCATCACCAGATGAAGGTTCTATGGTGGTATGCAAGATATTCGTCAGTATTGCTATGGATAGGGTCATTTCAGGTTGCCTATCCTCAGCTGCCTCGGGAAAAACATACAGTTATCCTCTTGGCTATGGGAAGTAGACAAAATTTCCGGGGAGAAAATTGGGATCTTGGGGGTGGGGTGGGATGGGGGTAAGGGGAGATGGGGAG